GTGTTTTTGGAAACTAATCAAAACACAAAAATGGATGGATTAAAGGAACTAGATTAAGTGATATACTAACTTGAAAGGGCTAGAAACACTTACTAGATTGAAGATTTTGAATAAAAACTTGGATGTTACTTGAGAGGATATTTTGGAGTTTACTATTTTGACATTTGGGGAGTAAACACAAATGACTAACTTTTTGGGGAGTAAACTCATACATAGGTATGAGTTCACGGTTTTGGGTGATTTCTCAACCCAAAACATAAAAGTTTGGTCGGGTGTTTCTAATATGCGAATTGTTTGCGGTTTTAAAATTCAAAACCCGAGACGGCACTTTCTTTCACCTGTTCGTTTAAAAATAATATTAAAATAATCAAACGAAATTTTATATTTCTTAAAAATGAGAAATAATGACATTGACTTATGATACGAAGTGGTTGACTTTTAGGGTTTGACTGAATGGAAATTTCGGGTTGTCACATCAGCAAAGCAGCTCGGTAGCATCAGCAGCGAGGGGCACGCGGTAGGAGAAGCGAAGGCCACGAAGCGAGAGGAGGGGAGCTGGCGCGCATGCGAGGCTCGGACAGGGTGGCTCGGATGCGAGGCTGGTAGGCGAGACGTGTCTCGCGTCGGATTGGCCGCCAATGCGAGACGTGTTTTGTTCCTGCTGTACCTCGGCCTCGGCGAATGAACTTGCGACACGCGCCGGCTTCAGATTTGGCCACGTCTCCGGTGACGCAGTAGCTTTGTGCGAGGTGACGTAGCTACTTCGTGTCGGTACTGTTCATGCGAAAATTCTCGGTTTTCAGACCCCGAGCTTCTAAAATCCATAACTTTCGCATACGAGCTCTGTTTTTTATGTTCTTTATATGCACGCATAGCTAAAATTACACTCTACAACTTTTGTTTGGACCTCGTCGGCTAATTTTGAATTTATTTTTAATATTATTATTTTTAACAGACCGGGACAGGAAAATCCGTTACAAATTCATAACTTCTTCATCCGACATCCGTTTTCGTCAGACTTTTTACCGTTGTACTACAAATGACGAGACATTCGATTCTCGTTTAGGATGTATCGATCAAATATCACTCGATCTAAAATTCGAGTTTTTAGTTGTCTACTGTTAAGTTGAAACTTCGAAAAATCATAACTTCCTCATACGAAGTCATATTTTGGCGTTTTTTTTATCGAATTTATCGGTTTAACGAATACTGCGACTTTCATTTAGATTTCTAAGGATAAAAATTAGTTTATCAAAAACTCACTTTTTATGTCAATCGGCGCCGTGCCGGTTTTGTCGCGGATCTTCGGTTGGTCATAACTTCTTCGTTATAACTTGGATTTTGACGAGGTTTTCACCTACAAGTTTCTAATGAGATGATTTACAACATCAAATAATAAAATTTTACTTATTTCAAATTTTATATTTTTGCTAAATTTCACTATTTGGCTTTTAATTGGGATCTCATAAGACTTCCAATATTTTCTGAGTGATTCTAAACATAGTTTTACTTCATTTCTAGTAAAAACCATCTTGTTAGAACTCAACACTCAATTTTATTCACTTTTAATAATAACAATACACAATTTCAGAACGTGTATGTTACACTAGATCAATGACATATTTTAAAGTTCAATTCTCTGTGTATATCTCACTCGTACTCATAAGAAGATACTACCCAATATGCCTCATAACTAATTTAGGTTTATTCTTTATCCTAAATCATCATATATTATTAGGTATGTTCTTTAACACATATTTTAGGTAACATCAAATAATTCGCACATAAACATATATTTAATACTTCAATCAATACTTGTATTAAAATCATGTTCATGAAAGGGACTATGCACTCACATGTTAAAGTGATGATTCCAAACTCGGGCAGTGCTTTGCTTCTAATGATTCTATTTTCCTTCGACGAAACCTAGCATTGTTATCGCTAAGTTTTATTCTAATCTTTATTGTGACTAATTATTAGTCTAGATTCATCATTAACTTAAAGTCTACTTTCATGATCTATCAAGTAAGGAACAACCATCTGGGATCATATCGGAGGTAGGGTCCATTTAGTATATGAAGTATACTGTTTGGAAATCCCACTTTAAGCACCTCACTAAATCACAGCCTAGACATCATCCCCGTAAGTAGATCAATCAGTATAACGACTTGGAATCACTGATAAATCTTGTTTATAGGTTCATAATAATGATATTATATTTAAATATGAGTTATATTTAAAGTACTGTAGGCGTATCTCACTTACAACGGGTTTTGCTAAAAACCGGGCTCCACTGGAGTAGAGCTTCTGAGCCGAAAAGCTCTTTTTCTCGGAGTCTTCAGGTGCTCCGTGGCTTTCCTCTAGCACCTTGAGGTTACTAGGGCTTTAGAGGGGTTTTGGGAGGTTTAGAAAGAAGTTAGAGTGAGAGAGAAGTGGGTATTGGTGTGAGAAATGAAGGTAACATCGCAAGGTATTTATACGCTGAAATATTGCTCAACTTGTAGATTTGGAGCCTCCAACTCGTCGAGTTGGTGCCACATGTTACCCTGGCTTGGGGAGAAAGCAATGGCCCAGATTCAGCCACGTCACCCTCTTCGCAGCAGTACCCTGCCAACTTCTAAACCCCGTAACTTTCGCATACAAGCTCGGTTTTCGACGTTCTTTATATCCACATGTAGGTATTAACAAGATCTACAACTCTCCTTTTGACTCTGTCGGCTAATTATCGACCGATTTTAGATTTAACACTATGAGAAGATTATACTGTTAAACGACCGTGTAAAATTCATAACTTCTACATACGGACTCTGTTTTCGTCTGTATTTTTATCGTTGAACTCTTATTAATGAGATCTTCAATTCTCATTTAGGTTGCATTGGCCAAAATTTGATCGATCTAAAATTCGAATTCCGGGTTGTGCACTACTATGCTAAATCTGAGAAAAATCATAACTTCCTCATACGAAGTCAGATTTGGACGTTCTTTTTATGCACGTTCTCAGTTTAACGTATATTATGACTTTCGTTTAAATTTCTAAGACTAAAAAGTAATTTATCAAAAATTCAGTTTTTACATTACGCGGTGTCGTATCTGTTTAGCCGTAAAACTTCAACAGGTCATAACTTCTTTATTATAACTCGAATTTCAGCGTTCTTTATATGTACGAAACCCTTGTAACATATATTATAACTTAGTTAAGACTATTTATTCTAAATAATCTTCTATCAAAAAGTCATTTTTGACGTTTATTGTCTCCAAATTAAGTAGCTCGAATTTGCGGGCGTTACAAAATGTTTCACCTTTTTTCACACATTTAATTTCCAAATTAACCTTTGAGTAAATTACACGAATCATCCCTTGTGCAAGTGTAAAAAACAAGTTTGGTCTTTATTTTTAAAAATTAATTAAGATCATCTCTTATCATGTTAAAAGTTGCACGTCTCGTCCTTTCCATACATGAAATGACTATATTATCTTTTTTATTTATTTTTCATTTGTTTATAACTTTTCTATAATTTTTTATTAATTACAATTTTCAGAAAATGAAATGTCCCCTAAAATTGGTTCTAACCACCTCTAGCCACCGGCTATCTTTGGTCACCAAACACCACCCATCCCAACCACCATCTACCTCCGACCAACCACCTCCAATCATCCCTTGTATCATTTTGATCTCTTTTTCTCTCCATGTCCTTTCTCAGCTTTAATAACCACCATTTGTCACCACTATCATCCCCTTTTCACCTCCGACAACCACCACCAAGTGGAGTACAACATATTGACAAAAGTTTTGTTGATGAATTGTAGATTTGTTAAAAGAGTGTGGTTCTGTGAACCTAGATAGTGCAAATATGGCGACGTGCAAGTGGCGATAGTCGAACAGACAAGAGAAAAGAGGGAATGAGAAGGAGATTGTGCTTTGTATTTCTTTGCTACCTTTTTGTCAAAGTGTAGATATACTACCCTCTTGTCATAGTACATGTCTCCACCATTGACCACCATCACCTCTCGTAAGGGTGATGTTGTCTTGACAATGGTCGTAACTACCCTTGACACCACTTCAACCTCCTTCACCTCCTTCAGAGACACCGCAATCTTTAACTTCATCTGCTGCTGTGAACTTGAAATCCCGGATGCAAAAAATTGATGCATCTCCTCCTTTACTATCTTACTATTTGTAGTTGCCGGATCTACAACCCTATCATCGGAAAAACGAGACTTATGGTGCTCATTCCTCATCGATATCCCCCTTTCTTCGTGGTGAGGTCATCGTCTCCAACGACTAAGAGGACTGACTGGCTCCAAATTCTAGTTGATCAGCCATGGAGTTTAGCAAAGAGATAAATAAAGAGGGTAAATGAGGTGGCGTTCATTCCTTTTAGTAAACAAATAAATATATAATTAGCTAAATATAACTAACAAATAAAATTAAATAAATAAGAAATAAATAAGGGAATAATCATTTTTTATGTTTGACTAACAATATTAGAGATGAAGCATAAAAGTTTCAAACAAACAAATGTCTATCCAAGTTAATTTTTTCAAATAAAAACCAAACTCACTTCTCTTAAACTTAGAGTTAGTCATAGCACTTTAAAGTGTGATGAATAATATCATGGCAAGACTTAGGTCAAAAGCTAAAGAATTATGGCAAGACTTCGATTGCAATACAATTCATGACAAGGCAAGTTTCCTTTTTTGACTTAAAACAAATAGAACAACTTAATAATAAAAAGCCAAAGAAAAATTACTAGGAATTTTCCTATATTTATTTTCCTCGTCATTTATTTGGATGATAATTTATCCTAATAGTCCTTAATATTAAATAGAAAAAAAAAAAAAAAAATGTTAAACGGATCTTAGTAGTATATGTTGTCCCCATTATTGCTTCAAAGGCAAAAGGAACTCTCTAATCCCATGAACAGTAAAATATGATTGCTGTATTCATCGAGATATATATATATATATATATATATATATATATATATATATATAGAGAGAGAGAGAGAGAGAGAGAGAGAAAAGTACATTGATGATGAGCCTAAATGCTGAAATATATAATACAATGAAATTAAACAATCTCTCATACATCTATGAATTAGCATCATCATCCTCATCCTCATCATTTTCCCACTCATCATCATCATCATCATCAGAGTTTGTCCATGAACTTTCATCTTCACTCTGCACATTATTTCTTGTTAGGATATTGTTATATTTTTCTAGATTTTACCAAAAAAAAAAAAAACCTGTTGGGATTCCATGGATTGACCAAACAGCTCAATTTCCTCCGAGTTTTGAGCACCAATGTCCTTTATATTCTCAACACCACCCTACACACATATCATTATGAATAGATTTTAATTATAATTAATGAATACTTTATGTGTAAAAATAAAAAAAATAAAAACAACACTTACATTTTCGGCTTTGGTTTGCTTTATGTTGTTTTCCAACTCAGCCACGTGTTCAGTGAGAGCCTGTATAATTTTACATTAACATATAAAATAGTAATTGCTTAAAGAGTAAATTACTGAAATAGTCCCTGTGGTTTGGTCAAAATTGCACATTTGATCCCTAACTTTTTTTTTGCACTCAGATCGTCCCTGTGGTTTGATTTTGTTGTGTTTTTTGTCCCTATGGTTTGGTAAAAGTTGCATATTTGGTCCCTAACTTTTATGTATGTAAGGGACAAAAAAATGCAATAAAATCAAACCACAGGGACGAAAAACGCAACAAAATCAAATCATAGGGACGATCCGAATGCAAAAAAAAAGTTAGGGACCAAACGTGCAATTTTGACCAAACCACAGGGACGATGTCAGTAATTTACTCTTACTTAAACTAATAAATAAGTAAATAAGTAAATAAAATAAAAAAATAAAAACCTCGTATCTCTGTAGGGCTTTCCAGCGTTTCAATGCACGTGCTTTTGAAGGAAGGCTTCTAGGCCTAATACTAATTGGCCTTTGATAATTTTTGCCACGATAATAAATAATTGCATAGCCTTTTGGAACTCTTACAATATCTATTAAAATTCCACCACTTTCATATTCTAAAAACCTTGCAGTTTCTTCAACAAATTCTATATCTTTTTGCTTCGAGATAAGTTTTACAAGCTCTCGATGTTTCCAGTGTAAATGCATGTTTTCAATAACACCATCAAACACACCACGAATACCTGAAAATTTTACATTAAATTTTAATATCTCAAAAAACAGTTTCACCTTTTAAACAATTTTTATGTAACGATGTTTTTTCTTTTCTAACCAATTTATACAATAAATACAAACTACGCAACAAGGGTTAATCTTATGTTTTGAGTTTTTTTTTTTTTTATTAAACCTCCAACTTTATTTTATTTTTTGAAAAGACCTTGTATTTTTTCGTTTTTTCTGATCTGGCCCTTTTAGTCGTTTTACTCTAGAAAAAGTTGGAAAATGTGAGGGTTTTTTAGGAAAAACTAAATAAGTTTAGGATTTATTTGGAATCATTTAGAAGGTTGAGGGGTTTTTTCGGGAAAAAATGTTTAATCTTAAAAAAATACCTTATATTTTGTGTTTTTTCCGGATTAAAACTCAAATTTGTTTTTTTGCCTGAAAAAGACCTTGTGTTTTTTCATTTTTTCCGAGAAAGCCCTCAACTTTGTATTTTTTCAGAAAAAAAAAAATATATTCAACCTTCTTAAATGCTTTGAAATAAACCCTCAACTTTTTTAGTTTTTCTCGAAAAAAAACCCTCAAATTTTACGATTTTTTTGGGAAAAAAAATGACTAAAAGGGCCAAATCGGAAAAAATGAAAAATACAAGGTCTTTTTCAGGCAAAAAATAAATTTGATATTTAATCCGGAAATAAACACAAAATATAAGGTCTTTTATGTGATTGACCCAAAAAAAAAAAAAAAAAACAAACAAACTTGAGGATTTTTTTGGAAAAAACGAAAAAATATAATCCAGAAAAAAACACACACACACACACACAAAATATAAGGTCTTCTATAATGGTTGATCATTATGCAACAATATTTTTACTGTTTTACCAAAAATGTATGCAACTAATGCAATCATGTTTCTCAAGTGATTAAACAGGTAAGTGGTAAAAATGTAAAATACTGCATCTTTTGAATTTTTTTGATATATATATATATATATATATATATATATATATATATATATATATATATATTTGATAGAGAAGAATTTACCAAGTGGTAAATAGGGCTTCATTCTTAATCCAACTCTTCTAAACATAACACGTTCTTCATCTGTAATTGTTTCTTGATCTTCAGGAGCACCTGAAGGAAGCCATGATTCTCTTATCTTTGCCAATTCTTTATCTGCTTTAGACCTTTTAGATTGAGCCTGTTTATTTTTAAATATATTTTCAAAAAAGAATAAATTAAAACACATACAAAATAATGAGGTGTAAATCATCACTACTTCCTAACTTTTTTACAAATTTGCAGTTTTTCGTGATTTTCATAAATACTTTTTATATATCAAGATGTCATTCGGACAAACATTGCATTTGTTTTTACTCAACCCGACCAATTTTATGTAACAATGTTTCATTTTGCTCATAATCTTTCGTATGTGAAAAAGACGTAAATGCCCTCCTCGTCCTCATCATCAAAAATAGCCTTATAGAGCTTGTCAGGTCCCATCCCTTCCAATTCTATCCCATCAAGCTTTCAAGGCTGTTTTTTATTATGTGGATGAGAAGGGCATTTTCATCTTTTTCACAAACAACAGATCAAAGGCAAGTCTGTGTCCTGTCCCACCGTTTTGGGTATTGACAAAAAAGCTACAAATTTACTCAACCCAACCAATTTTATGCAACAATGTTCCATTTTTTGCTCATAATCTTTCGTCTGCGAAAAAGACGTAAATGCCCTCCTCATCCTCATGGACCTCATCATCAAAAATAGCCTTATAGAGCTTGTCAGGTTGCATCCTTTCCAATTCCATCCCATCAAGTTTTCTTGGGCTTTTTTTATTATTATTATGAAGATGAGAAGGGCATTTTCGTCTTTTTCAAAAAAAAAAGAGATCAAAGGTGAGTCCCTTACCTATCCCACCTTTATGGGTATAACAAAAAACAACAATTTTGTTCTTTAAATGGAAAAAAGGAAAAACACACTTACAATAAACAGCTTATGCTCAAGTTTCTTGACAACTCGAGTAACTTTGGTTTTGGAAGCTTCTAGAAGCATCTTTTCATGTTCTTCACTTGTCTTTTCTCTTCCCCATTGTGCTTGAGCCTGATAAAACTCAGCCAAAGTCCCTGCTGCAAGTGGAGTTGCTTCTCCATCTTTTTCAACACCTGCAACTGCAACTGCTCCATTTCTGACCTTCTCTTCTGCATCTTGAATCTCTTTTGTCATTTCTTGTCTTTCTACTAAAGCAGAAGCCACACTTTTGGGAACAAAATCTTTCCCTCGATAAATTACAATGTAATATTTGTTTCTCAACAATAAGACACCTCCTGTTAATCTCTGCATTGCAATACATCATTTCCAAAATTCTCAAAAAGCAGGAAATAGCAACCTATTATTACTAATATGGGCAAAAAAATATATCAATATACTTTATTTTTTTTTACACATAATAGCAATGTTCTTTATTTGTTAAAGACAAAATTGCAAAAATGGTCCCTGTGGTTTGTTGAAAATTGCCACTTTGGTTCAAAAAGTTTTGGACTAGCACCACTGGTCCAAAACTTTCATTTTGTTGCGGTTTTGGTTCAAAAAATTTTGAAACTCTTTATAATGACAATTTTGCCCTTCCGGTGACAGTGGTTTCCAACAGTGGGGGTGGTTTCAGGCGAAGCATGAGAGAGAGAGAGAGAGAGAGAGAGAGAGATGTAGGTGGGGTTTGGATGGTTTATTCGGGGGTAGGTTTATATTTTGTTTTATTTTAATTAAATAATAGTAAAGGAAATAAAAAGAAAATGAAAAAACAAACAGCAAGGGCAAAAATGTCATTATAAAGAGTTTCAAAAAAATTTGGACCAAAACCGCAACAAAATGAAAGTTTTGGATCAGTGGTGCTTGTCCAAAAATTTTTGAACCAAAGTGACAATTTTCGACAAACCACAGGGACCATTTTTGCAATTTTGTCTTTGTTAAATATTCATATTGTTGATAAAATGTAAGTATATTGCTATTAAGGATAAAAAAATTGTAGATAAGTTGATGTTTGTGTATTATAACATCCTAATTCCATATCTTTCTATTACAACATTTTAGTTTGATAAATATATTATACATTCTATTTTTTTTTCATATTAGAAATTATATACTTTGGAAAAAAAACTACCCAATAACAGCAGTAAAATATGCTTTTGTTTTTGGATGAAATTGCTATAGTTCAGTAAAATTTTCAAACTACAATGCTGTAATAGGAATAAATGAAAGTCTGATGATATAATTTAAAAAAAAAAAAAAAAAAAAAATCAATGGAAGTACATTGCTATTTCCTCTTGTTTAAAAAAGATGTTAATTTTGAGATGTAGTAAGAATGAAAAGTACCTTTAACTCCTCAGCCATTAACTCATTATTTGTATTCTGAATTCCACGTTTAACAGCAATTTTAGCAACCATGCTTTTCTCCCAAAGTTTCAGTATAGCAGATGCTAAACCCTGATGATTCCTGTTTCTCCCTATAAGAAAATAAAAAAATTAAGAAATATTTCATATGCAGATTAAAAGAAATATGCCATTTTCTTTTAAACATTGGTTATCCAAATAGTATGAGTATCTCTTTTGGACTTAATGCAGAAAGAAGAATAACTAAAAGAGAAAGTCAAGAAAAAGAACAAGAAAAACTTTCCCGATTATGTCCAACTGTTTACAAATTTACCCTCATTTTCTCAAATAATTTTTAAACAGAGTGTTTTCTCTCGACTTAATACAGAAAGAACAACTTAATGGAGAAAGTCAAGAACAACTTAATAGAGAAAGAACAAGAAAAACTTAATAGAGAAAGTCAAGAAGCTTTCCCGATTAAGTCCAAAATGTTTACAAATTTACCCTCGTTTAACTTTTCTTCTAGTTCCCCAAAAGTTACATCATTTTCACAAATATTTTTTTAACATAGTGTTTCCTCTTGACTTAATGGAGAAAGTCAAGAAAAAGAAGCTTACCGATTAAGTCCAAAATGTTTACAAATTTACCCTCATTTGTATACTCCTTCCATTTCCACAAATGTGTAGTCATTTTCTCAGATACTTTCTAAACAAAATGAAAAAAGAAAAAAAGAAAACATACCAAGAGCAAAATGACAAGGAAGTGATTTAGCAAGTTTTCTCAAATTTGTCATCTCAGAATTGGTCAATCTTGGCCTCATTCCAGTGGGAAGAAGTCGGAATGGAGTTCTAAACCCCGGAATCATCTGTGGGAGTAAATCAGCATCCACTGGAAGGATTCCAGTCCCCCACCATTCTTGAAACCTTGGACCTAATCCATCTAAAACACTGTTGAATTCAGCTTCTTCTTCTGTCATGCTTTCTGCAACAACAGGTGTTCTTGTTGCAACACTAGTAGTGGCAGAATCGTTATTTCTTGTTGTTGGATTACTAGCAGGGGAAACATCAGGGACAAAAAGGGTATTATTGTCTTTTTCACTGGATTCAGGTCTTGAAGAAGGGCCTGTGTAGTTAACTCCCCGGAATACCATCATCACACTTCCTGATTGCCATATGACTAATCCACCTGTTCGACGCTGTTATAAAAATATATATATTGAATTTCATAGATAGAAGAAACAAAGAAAGGAATGTGTTTGGTTGGATGGAATGGAATGAGAAAAGAATGGAATTGATACATAAATCTACTGTAAAACTGCAAACAGATGCTTTCAGTAATGAAAAATCAACCAACCTGAACAATTTCATGAGCAGTTTTCATATCACGAGCTAACACTTCATGAAACTTGAGTCGAACTAACTCCGACTTCCTCCATTGATCATGAATCTTTTCAAGAACTGCCCCTGTAATCCCTGCCTTAGGTACTGAAATCCTCTCCCTAATCGTTGTACCTACTGTCCTCAACCTCCTTAATTCTGTATCTTCAAGTGTCAACTCAGCTAATGTTGGTGCTTTCATGGTTCTCTTCTTTACCCCTCCAATTTCCCTCCCTTCCTCGTGATTTCCCTCCTGTTCTCTCTCCCATGGCAGAATCGTCTCCTCATCGTCATCTTCGACCAACATTCTATCAGGACGAATCCAATCTCTTCTTAACAAATCTCCCAATTTCTCGTCTCCCGTCAAAGCCATTTCCGAAGACCCGGGGTATTCATTTTCCGCCTCTTCTTCTTCGTCATCGGAGCCCAGACCTAAATTCCGCAACCGAAGAACAATCCGGTCAATGGCGGTGGTCCTGGTTGAGCCACCGGAAGCAGCAGGTTCAGAAGAACTGCGAGTTTCAGACCGTTTTCCGGAGTCAGGATTGATAGAAGGGTTTGGTGGTGGAGAAGACCAATTGTTGAGCCAAGGGGAAGAGGGAGAAGGATTGGTGGTGGTAGAAGTCGTAGAATTATCAGTTGTTGAACGAATTGAAGGTAAGGGTTTGACAAGAGATGGTTTCAGAAAAGAAGAAGAGGAAGAGGAGAAGAAGAGTAAGTGAGAGTTACGAGGGAATGGGAATATGAATTTTGTGTTACGGAGTGGCACCGCCACTTCTGTTAGTTTCATGGTCGATAAATGTTGGTGGCCGGTCTACTTCGTAGTCATTCCATCATTCACGGCGGAGGGCAGCGGCGGTGTTATTGCAAAGGGAGAGAAAACAGCAGAGTTGAGTGCGAATGGGGAGAGCTGAGTTTCGAGAGGACGAGGATAAGATGGCATGGTGCCATTTCGATATGATATTTTACCTTTTCTATAATAATAATGTGATTTATATATTACCTAAAAAGTTGTTATATATTACCTACATGCCATTGCCGAAACGCCCATTTAATTCGTATATGTGTATAAAAATGAATAATAATTGAAAATACATATAAAAGTATTAAATACATAGAAATTTTCCGTCTTAAGTCACGCCTTACAAATATCATGACTCACCAAGGCTCGGAAAAGCTTGTCCAAATCACGCCTTACATTATTTAGAACCTTGATTACCACCCTAGTAATATAGTATTGATTAAAAAAATTAAATATTAAAATATAAATAATATGTATTTTTAAAATAAAATTTTTGAAATAAGGAATGAAGATATATAAGTATAAATATTGTGTGACTTTTTAATTTTAAAAATTGAAAAAAATCATAAATTAACATGTGGATATTATTTATTTAAAAAATATAAAAAAAATGATAAGTATCAAAACTCATTATAAATTCACAAAAAAAAAAAAAAAAAAAAAAAAAAAAAAAAAAAAAACCTTCATTTATAGAGAGAATTTATATGTTATGTTATTAGATTTTGGAAAAAAAGAAAAAATTGTTTTCTTAAAGAAAATTATATATATATATATATATATATATATATATATATATATATATATATATATATATATATATACACGATAATTAGTTCAAAATCAACTATAGGATAATGACTTGAAAGGGTAACGAACTTTCGACTTTGTTCACATTTAGTCGCTAAACTTTTTTTCGTTATCTATTTGACATTGAACTATTGAAACTGTTCACATTTTAACCTTATGACCGGCTGTTATCGGTCATAAGGGTAAAATGTGAACAGTTTCAATAGTTTAGTGGCAAATATATAACGAATAAAAGTTTAGTGACTAAATGTGAACAAAATCGAAAGTTCGTTTCCCTCTAAATTGTTCAATGGCTAAATGTGAACAAACTTCCTATTGTATTATGTTTTAGCAAATTATTTATTTTTGTTTAATTATAGCAACATTTGTTGATGAAGAAATCTATGAAATAAAAAAACAAAATATAACATCCGGATTTCCAGGTATCATAATTTAAGTATTTTTCTTTTGAGTTAAGAAGAGAGACTCGACGAGTTGATGCTTTAACTCGTCGGGTAAGGTCGCGACTGATGACTCGGATTAATGAATGGACTCGACGAGTCGGTGAGGCGACTCGACGAGTTCGCGCTGTTGGCAGAAGCCCTAAATCTTTGGGCTCGAGCCATATTTAAAGGCACTTATGGCCTTCAATTGCGACTACCTTTCCCATAAGTGAGAACCCTAGCGAGTTTGAGTGTGTAGAGTGAGAGGAAGAGCTATCTTGAGCTTTTTGGTGTGATTTTGCAAGAAAGGAGAAGAGTTCCAGCAAGAGGGACCAAGGAAGGTTATTGTTCTGAGTTATTCAAGCAAGGAGCTTCATTTTGAGGTACAAAAATAAACCCCTTTCCTTCCCTATTGTGTAGATTCCATTTTGGGGTTAGGGATTGAATCACTTCATCTTTGGGGTTTTGAATGCCTCAAACCCCTCTTACAAGTTTGTGTTATAGATCTGGACCCTTCTTAGTCCAGAGAGCCAAGAATATGAAGCTTTAGTAGAGTAAACCTTGGGGTTTGAAGTTAGGAAGCATTTATGGGATTTTTATGGTATATATAGTTACTTTCATCTTACACATAAATATGAAGTATCTTATATAAATTATGTGCTATGTGTGCATATTATTTGAATACTTGTTGTCTATGCTGGATGAACGATTTTATATATGTTTTAAAAGATTTAAACGGTATATTTATTTTATATCTACAAATATGTTGCGGATGAAACATGGGTAGATGAAATAGTTGGTGTGTGATGAAATAAAATGATGAGAGATAGGTGATGATAGAAAGGTGATAATAATTAGGTAAATAGATGATGATGAATAGGTGATGTAGGATGAAAGGAGATACCATAACCTTAACCGGCAATGTGGCGATGTAGTCATCTACCATAGTATAGATGGCGACCACAGACTATTCTAGACAATCCAGTGGAAACACCAGCAGGCCCATAACCTGTAGGTGATGAATTACGAGTTCAGGCGATGTTGCAACTACGTATTCATGCGATGATACTCTAACCCCTTACTATGAATTAAGAGTTCAGACGATGTTGTAATTACGTATTCATGGGATGTCAAAAATTCCGCATGCCAAACCAATGGTCATAATTCATATCAGTGAGAATGGTTCATTTTTTTGTAAAACCAAAATCAGATTTGAAATTTTGATTTTTTATTTTGGAAAATGTCAAATTATTGGTTTTTTATTTCGGTTTCGGTTTTTTGTTTTTTTTTTTAATATATTTTCAGGGTTTTGTTTTTTTTTTTCATTGATTTCTTCATCACCAAATGTTGCTACAATTTAACAAAAATAAATAATTTGCTAAAACATAATACAAGAGGAAGTTTGTTCACATTTAGTCATTGAACTTTTTAGAGGGAAACGAACTTTCGATTTTGTTCATATTTAGTCACTAAACTTTTTTTCGTTATCTATTTGCTACTAAACTATTGAAACTGTTCACATTTTACCTTTATGACCAGTAACAGCCGGTCATAAGGGTAAAATGTGAACAGTTTCAATAGTTCAATGGCAAATAGATAACGAAAAAAAAATTTAGTGACTAAATGTGAAAAAAGTCGAAAGTTTATTACCCTTTCAATTCATTATCCCATCAACTATTCATTCTAACTTGGAGGTGTTCTAGTCGTGAACTATCCCGGACTGTTTATTTATTTATTTATTATTATTATCTATTTTAATAATTGTTATTGAGTTTTCTTTAAAATGGAATTGATAAATGTTTGATGTAAAATATTTTCAAAATCCCAAATTATTGTTTCTTTTTTCATTCTTTTTTTCTTTGACATACTTCTAGTGGTTGTCAATAACAATAAATAACTTATTTTTGCTTTTAGTGTATTATAGCATTCTACTTTTACGCCTTTCCATTGTGGTATTCTATTTTTTAAAGTATAATGTTGTAACAGTAAAAAATGAAATGCAATGTTATAATAAACAAATTAATGAAAGTAAACAGTTATTTTCTACATTTAAAAAAATTAAATGGAAGATATAGCAACTTACTTTTCTTTATAATAATAAATATGGCTGAAATTGGTACGTACCAATTTATTTGTTCACTAAACCGTGTATCGTACAAATTATAGTTTGTACAAAAAAATTTCTACCACTATCGTACCTAGTATAGTTGGTACCAATTTGTTTGGCTATCATAATTTTGGTTGGTACATGTTGGTAATGATATATACCAACTTATATGTGGGTTTTGTGAATGATGATTATGTGTGTCTTCAACATTGTGAATTTTCAATAGGGGGGATAAGAGTTTTCTAATGGTTGAGATTGAAAATTCATTCCAAAATGATATTATTAATTTCTATCATGAGTTTATAAGTTAAAACGATGGAAGAATATTGAACATGCTGATGGGTTTTATACAAACAATCCTATGTGTGCATGCAACCCTAGATTTGGATCTATGTTTTCACTATTAGATAGACAACATTTATGAACACATGAACAAAACCCTAAAGTAGATTGCTATTTTCGAAATTCATATATAAGGTTAGATCACATACCTCTTGTTGTTATATTGCAATAACAACTTAAATCTTCAAACCCTAAGTCTTGAAAGCAAGCACCACAAGTGTAGTGCCTCTAATGACTTACAAACACCACAAGCAATTGGAGAGGCTATATAGAGAGAGAGAAGAGAGGAGGTAGAAATCGGCCTTAGGATCTCTTAGAAGCAAGTGGGAAGATTTCTTAAGGCCTAGGGGTCTTTATATAGGGTTGGGATTAGGGTTTCAGTCCTTATCCTTATCTAGTTACTTGTCCACCAAGCAACCACAAGATAAGCCTTGATAACCCTTATCTCTTGGACCATATGGACGATTTCAAGGATATCCAATCCCTTGAATTCGTCCACCCTTCTCCAAGGATAACCATTGCCCTACTTGCAACTATTACATAATTACAATTCAGCCCCTCTAGTTTAATTAATTGCACTTGATCACAAAATTAATTCCTAATTAATTATTGACCAATATTAATTAAACAAATATGATTTATCCTTTAATATATTATTCTTATAACATATTAATAAATCATAATAACCTCTTTATCTATTTATTTCTCCAGTCAAGTTGCTTTGGTGAAGGCAACCCAAAAGGACCATGCACAACCGGGTCAAGTATTTGCCAAATATGGTTACGGGCTTAGACACGAATCCAACAGTCTCCCACTTGGATAAGTCTAGTAACCACAAATGTAATATACAGATCGATTAGCAATCGTAGCTCTCAAAGACGTTGTTGAACTCTGATATTATCAGTAACATATCTTTTAGATAAGGGATCGTACAGTCCTCTGTTTAGATATTGTGCGGACAATTTCATGGAACTAATTGTCCAGCAGTTGGTTTCTCGATCTCAGATTCATTTGACATAGAACTTAATTGAACACATCAATTCAGTCCTGACCAGGCCCGGCACATAAGTCAAATCAAATCATCGAGCGACCGTGATATCGCGTTTACCCTCTTAGGATAGAAGTAACAGATAACCTTCGACTTATATGCATTTACTATTAATCAACTATACACAATAATGTGTTTTATGACATCAATTTACTGATGCGGTTTTGCATTATCAATGTACAACTAATTAGTAAACAATAAACCATATATCTTGGTTTTAAGACCATATGATATTATCGTCTTGTGATCACTTTTGTCACATTCCATAAAATGATTCCAACAAGTGCGGGTTTATTCCAATGCTCAAAACTTGTTCATAAGCACTCATGAACGTTGCAGCAAACCTTTGCTATGTCTAATACCTTTTAGACACTCTACATACCAATTCATGACAATCTTCATTCATACCTACTTCCAACATATGAACGATTGTGGACCATTCTAATAA